TCCCATGAAAGTTTCCGTGGTGGCTCACTACTAGAGCACTTTCACTGGCACTTGTGAGACTTCACACCCACACCACCCTGACCATCTACATCACTCAGGGCTCACATAGAAGATGGGGTAACATTAACCCCCAAATGGCAACCCTGCTCTCCTTCCTCATCCGTCGTCATGTCGTTAAGTTAAAGCCGGCGGAACCAAACAGCTCTAGACCACAGGTGTCAAACTGAAGGCCAGTGTGTCACATCTGGTCCGCCAGACAATTTACATCCCGCCCGTGAGATAATTTTCGGTAGTCCATTCTGAGACTCCAAAACAGAGAACCTAACTCCAAGCATAAACGAACTTGTTGCCAAGAAAAGATGCCAAATATCCAGCTCTGACAAATTGACATGCGCGAAAATTAGTGCACATTGATTTATTATTATCTTAACTTTTGTCTCTTTTCATTCATGTCATAGTGTAAAAAGGGGTTAGTTTTTCACTGCTCAATGAGTGTTTATCCAGTAAGGCCCGCAACTTTTTGTGTCATTTGAGTTTGTCTCCCCTGAACGATTGAATTTGACATCCCTTGGTTGTAGTGTAGTAAGCGTTTTATGCCACTTGCAACACAATAAAGTCATATAAAAGGCTGAAGATTACAGGTGCTACAAGAGAGTAACAACCACAAAAAAGGAGAGGAGATAAGATGACAGATGATTGATGGGAAAGAAGGAGTAAACCACACCAGGGCATCCACTAACAACCCACTTTGACACCTATGCTCTAGACAATAGTTTGAGTTTGAGTAAAGAAAGGCATGCTGCCATAATAATGGTAATCAGTACTGGGAAAAATCAAAAAAGAAAGACAGAAACCACAGAGGGAAAGAAAGGAAGTCGAATCTACCAGTAGCACCCCTAAACATCTGCCTGCATGTCCACAACATTAGTACATTAGTACTCCAAACAAGGTAAATTCTCTTTTGGACGCAATTGGATGGGCGCGTGCGCGTGCGCACACACACACACACACACACCCACTCACACAAACATGTATACATGAACACATGAACGTGCACACATAAACACAAAAACAGACATACATTCTATAGCACACATAATGAAAGTAATAATAATTAGAAAAAGCATTTATGCTCAGCATTTCTATTCCTTAAAAGGTCAAAGAGATATCACACTTTAAAATTCCCCGATAGGTGTATACTTAGAAGAGAATACATGTCACTGTGTTATGTACATCTATACAAATCTCGAAACAAACAAAAACTGTCAAACAGTGAGCCTGGCAACAATAAAGTGAGGCTCAAAAAAAAAAAGCTATATTACCAGGCCTGCCAACGCCTCAAGACCAAAAAAACAGAGTTTTTTCCTCTGATCCCTTCCTAAAAATCAGAGTTTGGGGACAAAAAATCAGATTCTGTAGAACGCCAGTGGATTCAGATTATTATACGAACTGATTGTGGAAAATAAACGTGTATATATTGCAAATACACATAAATAAACGCAAATAAAAATGAGTATTTCCATGACATTTACGACAAGTCGCAGAAACGTTGCAAATGAATTAGTGGAATTTCAAGTCGTTTACATTGCGTTGCGTATGAGAAATGGAAATGAAATTCAAGAAAAAAATTTCGACTTTACGCAAATCCGATCAGGGGTCTTCTATAGGAAAAAAAATCAACCGCAACATAAAAAGAACGGAGGGCTTCAAATTTATCAGTGTACTTGGCAGGTTTACTTAAGTTTACTTTTCCGATCCAGCGGTCATTTGAGTTCTAGCTCTTCGGCCTGCCTGGAAGGTTAAAATTAGGCAAGTGCGAAAGAAAGCACGGACGTGCCCACCTTGGGAATGGAGACCTTGGGTCTGTCCTTCTCTTTGAGCGTCTCCTGCACACTCTGCTCCATCACCTCCTCCACCACCTCCTTCTCCAGGCGGGCCGGGACCGTTGACCTACAAACATGGGAGGAAAAAGAAGAAGAAGAAGATAACATACGAAAGGATGAAAAAACTAAGTTCATTCGTTTTCAAAAAAAAAAAAAAGAAGGTACAAGTTAAGTTCAGTGGTCAAAACAACCAAACCATCCAACATACTAGCTGGGTACCCCGTTCAATAAATGGACTCAAAAGAATCGATTGTCTAGTCATTGTGCAAACAGTGCGCACTGACATGTGAACAGAAGTCTCGCTTGTTTACAATGGCGTATTAGAAGACGGACTTTCCCAAGATTAGATCTAAACAAAACTGATAAAAAACTGAAAATTAAACTACAGTGACTTCAGACCCCTTATTATAACTGTGCACCCTTTAAATGATTCTGAACCACCGTTAATTTTTTCAAATTTGAAAGTTAAGTGGTTAGGAAGTTTTAGGTGATCAAAGAGACGAACATTCACAAATATAACATATATAGATAAGTTCATTTTCAACAGTATTTTTTATCTTTTTCACCACACTGATGGAAGCAGCCTGCTTCTTAAATGATCTAAATTATGTCAATGAAGGCAAAACATGTTTATGATACAGCTGAACTTGTCCAAGATGATCGCTCATTGTTGAGGAGTAACGTGGTTGTCTAAGAAAGGTGGATGTTCTTGGACAGTGTCATTGTTAGTTTTAGTAAGGTTTTACGGCGCTCGCAATTGCAAAAGGTCATATGAGCGCCAAGGGGTGGACAACAGAGAAGTCCAAACAGGGAATCAGGCTTACTCTGCTCACCTCTCTAGCCTCAACGGCACAAAATCTGCTTCAACTATCAAGGCACCCCGGAAATAGCCGGTCAGAAGAGAGTGACAAACATACAAAAGAAGTAGAGGAAAAATGACGATAGTAAGGATGAGGAAAGAAAAAGCAGCAGTTCCCCCATGTTGTTCCGGCAGTGTCATTATTACATTAAAAAAACACAAGGTAGGAAGGAGTAGTGGTGTTGGTACAAGCGACAGATTCCAGCTGGTTCAACTGTTATAAAAACACCCACAGTAAAAAAATGTCTAACCAAAAAAATTGAAAAAAAATATTTTAATTAAAAAAAACTTACCCCCCCATATATGAATTTAACAACCCAATGTGAAACACATACATAGTGGAAAAACTCACATAGCAAAACCTGCACACAGCAAAACACCCACATAGTGAACATGCACGTTATGAACCGAACACGGACTACATAGAGAACAGCTTCTCAGGTCCCATCCCAATTTTTTTCCTAATACACCTACATTCTTCGGTATCTAAAATGTAACCCTCGCCTCTTCTTGGATTTCGTCCCATCCCAATATTTTTTCTAATATACATATATGTGTCATGACGGGGTGGAATCCGGCACTTGTCAATTTTGGGGTATAAGGAGTTTGCCATTTGCCTTGCTTTTGATGGAAAATATATTTATTTATCTTATATGCAAGTCAAGATATTGGCGATAGAAGGAGGTGGAGGTGGCCTGGTTTCAGAGGTAAAATTAGAGAGAAAATGGCCCAAAGTTGGGTTTATTCCTTAGCTTGTGAGTCTGTGGAAACAAAATATTTACATCTTTTTTGCCTTTAATCAACATTTTAAAGTAAAATTCACACAGAAATGTGTTCTTTAGAGAGCATGAAAGGTGTTGAGAGAAAAAAAACAAAAATTCTGTAAAAATTACCAAACCTGCGGATAAATGCCAGTTGCTTGACTTTCATTATTTTGACGAGGGCCGGATTTCACCACGCTGCCACACATATTCTTCACTGTCTAAAAGGTAAGCATCACCTCTTACACGTAAAATGTAAGCCTCACCTCTTACACGTAAAATGTAAGCCTCACCTCTTACATGTAAAATGTAAGCCTCACCTCTTACACGTAAAATGTAAGCCTCACCTCTTACACGTAAAATGTAAGCCTCACCTCTTACACGTAAAATGTAAGCCTCACCTTTTCTTGAACTTGGGTTCGTCCCGAAATGTTTTCCTAACACACGTATATTCTTTGCTATCTAAATTGTAACCCTCACCTTTGAACTTGGTCTCGCTCCAAATTTTTTCCTAATACACTTATATCTCTTCTGTCTAAATTGTAAGCCTCACCTCTTACATGTAAGAAGTAACCCTCACCTCTTCTTGAACTTGGTCTCGCCCTGAAATTTTTTCTAATATCTGTATATTCTTGGCTATTTAAATTGTAAGCCTCACCTCTTACATGATGTAAAATTGTAAGCCTCACCTCTTACATAAAAAAAGTAAGCCTCACCTCTTAGATGTAACATGTAAGCCTCACCTTTTCTTGAACTTGGTCTCGCCCTGAAATTTTTTCTAATACCTGTATATTCTTTGCTATTTAAATTGTAAGCCTCACCTCTTACATTAAAAAAGTAAGCCTCACCTCTTAGATGTAAAATGTAAGCCTCACCTTTTCTTGAACTTGGTCTCGCCCTGACATTTTTTCTAATACCTGTATATTCTTTGCTATTTAAATTGTAAGCCTCACCTCTTACATAAAAAAAGTAAGCCTCACCTCTTAGATGTAAAATGTAAGCCTTACCTTTTCTTGAACTTGTTCTCACTCCAAAATTTTTTCTAATACCTTTATATTTTTTGCTATCTAAATTGTACGCCTCACCTCTTACACGATGTAAAATTGTAAGCCTCACCTCTTACATGATGTAAAATTGTAAGCCTCACCTCTTAGATGTAAAATGTAAGCCTCACCTTTTCTTGAACTTGGGCTCGCCCCGAAATTTTTTCCTAATACACGTATATTCTCTGCTATCTAAATTGTAAGCCTCACCTCTTACACGTAAAATGTAAGCCTCACCTCTTCTTGGACTTGTCTATCTGCGCCAGCCGATGTTTCTCCATGAGCCGCTGCATGTTGTCGGAGAGCTGTTGGTGCAGACGCAGCTTGTTGAGCCAGGCGCTGTAGCTGTGGACGCCGCGGTTCAAGGACGCGCGCGATGAGAGGTTCAGGTGGATGGCTGGACGCGGGGGGATCAGATCCGGGTCTGTGGGAGAGGGAGGGAAAAGAGGGAGGGAGGGAAAGGGGGAGGAGTGAGGGAGGGAGGGAAA